CGAGGATTTACTGAGAAAACCTCACCTGTAAATGCAGCCATACTCATAACAGAAGGCATCAATGAGGCAAAAGATAGAGGTCAAAGTGTTGCGATTACCACCTTAGACGCTGAGAAGGCATTTGATAAACTAGACCATGAGATTCTATTCCAAAAGCTCTACCACTATGGCATTTCAGACGACTCATGGGTACTAATGAAAATGTTACAGACCGAAGCCACTACAAGAGTAAAGTGGAAGGGAGGATTGAGCACTGGTTTTGTTGCCCAGCAGGGAATCCGACAAGGAGCCAAACTCTCACCAACTCTTTACAAAGCTTACAACAACCAGCTTCTTGATATTCTCAGAGCAAACAAAATTGGAGCCTCCATTGGTACCACCTTTATTGGATGTCCTACAGTTGCTGACGACATAGCCCTCATATCGCATAACCCATCGGACCTACAACAAGCGCTACATATCGTTCACAATGAAACCAAGCGAGATAAAGTCACCATCAACTCTTCTAAAAGCGACGTTATAATAATCAACGCGCACAAGAACAGACCAACCCAGATTTGGACTTTGGGTGATAAGGAGATAGAAGAAGTGGAAACAACAAAACATGTTGGACTGATAAGATCATCAAATGGCAAAAACGACATCCAAAGTAGAATCCAACTTGGCAGAAGAACGATGTATGCACTACTTGGGGCAGGATTGCATGGAAAAAATGGTATCAATCCCAAAGTCTCTTATAAGATCTACACCACATTCTGAAGACCAAGAATGACATATGGATTAGAGGCTGTCATCCTATCTAGAAGCGAAGAACAAGAACTGCTACTTTATGAGAGAAAGTTACTGAAACAGATCCAAGGGCTACCAGTAAAAACACCTACCATTGCTGTGTACTCACTCCTGGGGGCTATACCAATTACTGTATGCATAGAGAAAAATACACTAACAGCGTTCTACAAGATCATCAAGAATCAAGACAGTGCAGAATATGAAGTAGCCAGACGTCAACTTGCGCTAAAAGATCAGAACAGTAATAGCTGGTTCACACATGTAAGGAAACTCCTACAGAAATACCACCTGCCTACTGCCTACGAACTAATGGAGACACCACCCTCCTCAGGAAAATGGAAAACCATGCTAAACCAGGCTATACAAGAACACCAAACAACCCAATGGCAGAATGAAGCAACAGACAAACCATCCTTGAAACACCTAGCACTGCAACCAAAGTTAACAAAGCAAGTACACCAACTATGGGACTATGTACCAAACAACACCAGAGCAGTAGCAAAGGCTTCCATCAAGGCAAAAATTGTAACCGGAACATATATCCTACAGTCCAACAGAGCCAAGTTCAACCAGCACACAGTCTCTTCAACCTGTCTACTATGCAATGCCGCCAATGAGGATAGAGAACACCTTATTCTCCACTGCTCCACATACCAAGCTATCCGAGATAAACATCTAGATGCACTATACCAACTACTAGTCCAGCACTATAACCCTCAGACCGTCAGTAAGATTATGTGCGACTCGACTAACCTTTTACAGTGCCTGCTAGACAGTTCTAAGACTGAGATCTTGGACATTCTTGGAAAAAACAATGTGATAACAAGTGATATCGAAGAGATAAGCAGGAACCTACTATTTGATATTCACAACAGAAGGGCAGTGAACATATCTCGATTATAGACACTACTTCGATTATGCCTTTTTTTAAAAAAAAACATTCTTGAGTAATCTTCCTGTCATCACAGGGTGCTCCGAAGTCAACGGAGGAAAATACATGATAACAACAACAACAACAACAATAGCTAAATAAAGCTATATTACATAGGTAAATAAAGCTATATTATACAGGTAAATAAAGCTATATAGGTAGATTTAGCTATATAGCTAAATATAGTGATTTTCCTGGACCTGATATAGTTAGTTTTATCAATCTGTATATGTAGTTAAATCAAGTGATTATGCCTGGCCTGAAAACGTCATATATGACAAAAATAATGAAAATAATTGTAGATTGGTTCAATATTGCATAGTTACCCGTTCAGATCATTTTAATAGTCTATCTTTTAAAAAAAAAATGAAATGAAATAAAAACCAAGTTATAATGGGCATTTTAAACCATTATATGTTTAGTTTTCTGTAAAAACAACTAATTTTTCAAAACATTTTACACTCTGATTAGTTATCGACTAGAGTTTGTTCGAGTAAGTTCGATATCCAAGTGCAGAGCAAGATGTCAACAAAGGCACGTGTGGCCCATTTCTCCGTCTAAACAGATTGAATCAATCATAAAAATCACCAACAGTTACAAATGACAATGTGAATAAAGAAATTCTTTCAAAAACTTAAGTAATTAATTTAAAGTTAAGAGAAAAGTAGCAATTTTGCAGAGATATTTGCTTCGCATTACTTACTGCTGCCATTTTGCCGGTCTGTGCTTGTCTAAGCGCCCTCTACAATATAATAACAAATGGACACGGGCCAAAAAGTCTTATATTTACCTGATCGGACAAAATTGAAATTCCTTCGGAAATGAGCAAAAAAATATCCGATCCTCAGCCAGGAAAAATAACTAAATTAATATTTAATTTGAAATGCATCAGAATAAAGCTTTGAAAATGACTTTTTTTCATGCAGCAATTTTCATTTTATTCATCTTTATAAGATTCAAGGTTTTTGGAAGTCTTTAAAAAGGTCTTATAAAAGTTGACATTTGTATCTATAAAAGAAAAAAAAAATTAATACAGTTTTAGAGAAATAAGATTTTCTTGAATCCAGCCTTAGATACCAAAGCTTATGAGCATGATATAAAATAAGAAGTGATTTGTGGTGTCTTGCAATGATAGCAAAAGCCTTTTACACTTACGTATTAAAAAATACATGACAGAAATAGAAGACAAAAAATACCAAATAAGTATAAAAATCATGACAATTTCTCTGAATGCCAGGATACCTATCGTTTTTTAATCTAAAATATATTTGTTGATCAATTTGCAATTAGAAAATGCATTGCTGATATTCCAATTCGCTTTTTCTGCAAAAATATTGGTGATTTGACAATTTTCCCTATGTATTAATATGATTAACTTTAATCTATTTAAAGAAATATTGTGGATAAATTAATATAACTTTGGTGATTTGGAGATACTTTTATGAGTATTTTTGATTACTTAACTGGTAATTTTATAAACCTGAAGGTTGGACTACCTTAAAGAAAAAGAAAAGAAAGAAAAGGATCGAATGTTACTCAAAAATAATTTATCATTTTCAAACCAAAAAATCGGAGCAAAATTTTTAATTTGGTGAGAAATTGTTGGGGTTTCATTTTCAAAAAGTGATTTTGCTATCTGCTTACATTAAAACCAATTTTAATACATTTTTAAATGATAATTTCAGATCGATAATTTATAATAATAAGTAAGGAGAATATTCAAAAAGTTAACCTCATTGTGGCCTTTAGAAGCTTTCACATACCTCTCTCAAAACTAGTATTACAGGAACAATTCAAATAATATTAACAGGTTCTCAAAATCTCAAGAGCTCTCAGTATGTCGATTAATACAGTCGAATTTTGGCATATTGAACACTGATAATCTTGAACAAGGACATGTTAAAACAGACTGTATTTACATTTCTATGGAAATTCTATCCTAACTCCCTCCTTAATGATATGGTTTTGACAAGATTTTATTTTACTAGCTATTGTGTCATAAACTGCATCTACCTTGGACTGTTTAATCTGCATGCACATATGATCCAAACTTTAAAAATTCTAATTTTCTGTAACCCATTTTGAAAATTTTATTACTGTTGGCAGGATCGCATCCCCTCCCCCCAAAACCTGATGAAACTTTTTATTAGGCACCATAATAAAAAAACAATACATTTCTATTGAAAATGATCCATTTATTAATTCTACTCATTTTTTTTCTCAACTTCACACCACATTTAAAAGATTATCAGAGTTTAAGAAATGTGAAATAAAATTCAGAAAAAGGGTCAATTAAGGTAAAAACAAACTGTCTGTGTTGAATAGCTAGTTCACACCAGTATGTAGCAAAATACATGTATATGGTTTGATAGAAATTATATAATATTGCATATTGTCCAAATGCCTGGTAAGGTACATAACTTTTTGTGAGGAAACTTGTTTAAGTACCTATACCTCAATGACTAATTCTTTGGAAAAATTATATATTTTTGCAAATTGTGTAAGAAAAAATATATTGATGTATCTCTTCATTTCCAAATTGTGTGTTCTTTATGTTCATTCTCTCTGTGTTCTTTGCGTTCATTCTCTCTGTTTTTTTTTCTTATGATTATCATGTTTGTTTATCTTCTCTGATGAGCCAGTTGGCTTAAAGAAATTAAAAAAACTGAACTGAAACTGTGTCGTCTGATCTTAAGCTCATTTGTCGGTAATAATGGCTCTTCCAATTGTGATTGCGGGGTAATTGGTCAGTTTATGATTTTTTAAAAGATCAAGGTCAAAGCTAGGGAAGGTCAAGGAAAAAGGGGTTACTGCTGTTGAACAGCTTTCATGTAAGTGAACATCATTATGATGTTTGATTAAAATGTCTTGAATTATAGTTTATTTGAAACTGAGCCAAACACAAAGTGTACATATGGTGTAAGATGGTGTAAAGACAGGATGGAAGTCCAATACACTTTATGCTCAGGCATTAACGAATATCTATGACATACCATTGATACGGGAACTTATTCTAGAAATGATTTCCTTATATATATGATATGGTACTTTTGTAAAAGAATGAGTATTTCATGAATTGAAGATTTTATTAAATCCCAATGGTTGATCAGGAGATTTAAAATCAATGTAGCATTATGAAGAAAAAGCAATAAATTCACAATTTTCTGAGCATTCACTGATGTTTGAAGATAGCAATGTTATGGAAATGGTAACTTCTTCGAGTATACTTCTGCTTTGCATGTTTGAACTTTTCGGTATTAAGTTAAAACAAACAACATCACAAAATATATAATTTATATGTCAGTTTGTTTAACAAATAAACAAACAAACAAAAATTGCACATAATATGCCACTGGCACTGCTCACTTTCACTGGGTGGCCCATATGCACAGCATAAAATTAAATACTGCAGCGCTAAATTATAGGAAAAAAACATGTCCAAATCTATCTAATCAAATAGTCACAACACATTCAGCTTAAACATAGGACATGATGCAATATTGCAACAACAAAAAATTATACATTTAAAAATAATTAAAAATCATATATTTCTGAGATCATGCATTTACAACATATTCAAATTTACAAATTGTACTTATTCAACCTTGCCTAAAAAATTAAGCTGCATATACCTATTTATTCAAAACATCCATTCCAAAAAATAAATGTATAATATAAACATGTATGTATCAATTAACCTTTACTTAGAAAAAGCTTTTAACACATACTTAATAATATTGGTAAAAATGAGACATTTTTTTTTAAATCATGCAAGTATAAATGTATGTGTGTATATATATAAAATTACACATATTTTAATTTACTAAAAAAAATTGATTGCACCTTAATTATGTGTACTGTGAAATCATACAAATTTGTGGGCTCAATTTTCCTAGCTTGTTTAATTTTTTTTTTTTTAGACATGATTTTGTGGAATTCAGTCATATCTACAAAAGGAAATATGGATCTGAAAAACTTGTAGTTGGTTTTTATGATGAGAATGTTATTAATTGAAGAGAAATAAATGCTAATTCCATGGATATCTAGCCACCACAAAATTTCATGATTCCACAGTATGTTATTCCATGCAGATGTTTTCTCCTTATAAATAAAAAAATAAAATGAGAGAAAAAATTCACATGTACATGACATAGATTGTAACTGTATAAAGGATTTATCAATATAGGATAGAATATACAGAAACACTGCATAACTTGCATACTATACTCAAATATAAATATCTACATTGACATGAACATACACCTGTAGCAAAAGCACCCATCCCTGACATCAACTGTACAGAGGTAAATGGAATGTTTAACATAATTAATTGAAACCAAAACTTGAAGCTCACATCATAAAACAGATAAAAATGACACAGATTGCCATAAATTGGATATATTCAAGGATTTCGCATCAAATGTATATGTAAAGTCAACATGGAAAAAATATAGACAAACTATGATGTCTGGTTAAACCCTGGAATGTGTTCATAGAGTCCAAAAAAAAGAATATTTCATGGTCCTTCTCTGTATGAATATTTGATGGAAGCTTAGTATGTGATATTCTTTATTACTCTACAGCACAAAAGCACAATTAGTAAATTGATATCAATTCTGCTAGAGTTCATGACTGCCCCTGCACTATAATGTCCTTGACTAGTTTCACAGTGAACTCATCTCAAAACTCCCGGAGATAAAGTGGCAGTGAATCTGTAGTCTTTCGTTCAAAGGAATCCTTGTTTTTATAGTGAATGTTCCTTATCCATTATTCCATGACTGTAAATCTACTGAATTATTTATTTCTTCACTGGCGACGTCATTTTTTAATGGCAAGCTTTTTTACACACGGTATCTGTCTGTATCAGACCGTTGACTGTTTTGAATTCTGTGCTAATTTGTCAGCATATATTCCTATAAAAGATCCGTCCTCATTAAATTTACTAATGTCTAAATCTCCTCCGTATTCACCCATGCTGTCCTCGTCACTCTCTATCTGCTTCCCAAAGTCATCGGACAGAGAAATGTTGTCATATTTGTGACCATCCTCATCTCTAAAATTGAAAAAAAAAATTGACATGTAAATCAATTAATTCAAATAATCTTTATAACTGTTGACCAAGACACTACAATTTCACTCTTTCTCTTTGATCTCATCTCAAATAATATTTTGTGAGATAGAAATTGTGAATCATTCAAATCACAGAGTTTCCCAGTAAGAATTAAGTGATTACATATTCAATCTTCAGCACTTACGCTCTGGACAAATCGTGGAATCCGCTATCTGCTAACTCTTTTTCTGGATCATGGCCTGCTGCTACCTCCTTCTCATCCACTGAAACAAAAAAACAATAGAAAGACTTAGTTGTTTCTTTACTAAACATGATGACAAACAGTCAGTTTCTATGACACCGTATCAAAGACACATTTCCCTTCTAGTTAATATCACTTTCCTATCTTTAAATAAGCCCTATCCATAGCTGATTTGCTTATTGATAATAGTTTGGCTTTGTTCTGCATTAGTCAGTTTTTATTCAAAGTTAAGGGAACAATTTCCTTTTTGTAATAGTGCTAAGCTTTTTGGGATACTCTGTATGGGAAATGAGATCTCTATGTGATATGCCAAGCTTTGTGAAGTATGCTTTTTGCTGTGCTAAACCATGTATATTTGGGTACTCTTAGGTGAGATGCCAAACCTTGAAGGGTACTTTTGTGTCAAACTTTGTGGGGGTACTTTCTTGTGAAATGTAGCTTTGTAGGAACTGTAAATTTTTGTGAGGTACTTTTTTGTAAGATGTCAAGCTTTGTAGGGTACTTTTTGTAAAATGTGGTTTTGTATGTACTTTCTTTGTGATACGTCAAATATTGTGGGTACTATTTTGTGTGATATCTCATTTTATGAGGTATAAGATTCCAAAATTTTATGGGGTTTCTTATTTGTGAGATTTTGAGCTTTGTAAGGTACCTTTTTCATCATCTTTGCTAGCCAAGGGTTTCTAATACGCTGCTCTCCTCATACACCCTTGGCCTATGGTGTTCATAGAAATCGGGATTTTTTTCCAGAGTTCTGATTGGATTTCAGTACACCCAGGTCGACCAATCAGCAATTGTTTTTTGTAAATGACGATATTTGCGTTCGGGATACATCTTCACTCTTTAATCTCGGAAATGAAAAACGCAAGTAAACAATGATCCGTAAGATAAAATTCAATTCTATGAATAGCCATGGTGTCATCCAATATCTTCTAAATATGTGATTAAGAATTATATTGAAGCTTCAGATTTGTTCTATAAATAATGAATAAACATAACTCAATTACTGCTTCTTAATTTTCTTGAAAAAACTTTGATTTAATTTTTTTTAACACGTGTCTTTATTTCTGGCGATGACGCAATCTGTGCGTACCTTTTTCACGTGACGGAAAACAATCCCGTCTTTTGACTTCACCGTACGCCAAGGGTTTATGAGGTGAGGAGCGTATCAGAAACCCTTGGCTAGCGAAGATGCTTTTTCATATGATGCCAATTTTTTTGCCCTTTTTTTTCTTGTCTTTTTTTGGAATGCTAAGCTTTGTGGTATCTGCCTTTTTAAAGAAAATTGCTCTTTGTGAGGAATATTCTAATCAGACACTTTTTAAAGGTTGCTTCCTGTGTTTCTCTTTCTGGGGTATGCAAAGTCTTTGTTAACATTTTAGGATATTATGTTTTGTGTTGCCCTGATTTTTGGATTTGGAAATTTTTTACCCCAATATTATTGAAAAACCTTAACCTTGTGATACCTTTGTTTAAGAAATACTTTTAATATTACACTAACCTGGATATGTTCCACTCTTACAAGTATTGCGATAAAGCATACATATGATTAAGATGATGACAATGATCAGGATGAGGATTCCAAAGATAATTCCCAGGAACCATAAATTGGCCTCAGATGGGGGTGCTTGCGAAACTGAAAGTGAGAAAAACAAGTATTATACATAGAGTCCAATTCTTCAGAATTACATCTAAACATACATGTAGGATATCAGTGAATAATAATATCACTTCAGCAAATATTATATGCAAGTCAAAGTTTAATATAAAATGGAAGTTGAGTAAGATTCAATAGCTACATGTAGTTAGCATATTTGGCCTTTTAATTCTGTGCACATATTAGGACTTTCACTTCATTACACAACTAGAAATATTCATTCTTAATGCTTCATCTTAAACATTAGGCAGTTCGTATGCATCTCTAAATGCATAATGTACTAAAGTCTGAACCAGATAACACTTTAAGTGATTCTTTGGAATCAATCTATTCCTAAAACTTCAATTCGGTTTGGCCACTCATCCATAAAATATGTAAAGTAGATCTAACACAAAAGCCAAATCCAATGATACTATTGCATCTATATATAGATGCATTATCCATCCATATATGTTTACGACTGGCCTTATAGTTACTTAATTGGGAATGAACCAATGCTCCCAAACTTTTGTTATACATGTAGTCAAACACCTGGAATACATACAGCAGGTCAACTCCAGCATTCAAAGTAAGTCTGTTATTCAGGCATTCCTAGATGCATCAATCATGCAAGTTTGGTCAAAGAAGGGCTAAAAGCTGATATGGAATGGACTTATACTAGTCAAACATTTCAAACAGTTCTCACAACTGGGACATATACTGGTACCTTGCAGATCTGATGCAGCTTTTAAAGCACCTGATAAATTAGATATACCATCCACTTAATTAAGTAATTCAAAATATATGTCAGCTACTTAATGCAGCATCCAGATCTGGTAAGAGGCATCCTCCATGCAAGTGCTTGGTCCAGGTAGGCTGTTACTTTGGAATTGAACAGAGAGCTCTCAAAGCATAAGCCTAGAATGTACATGGACTAGCTCAGCTGCCAAGTCATGGCATAAGCTCATCTCAGCTTCAGTAAAATGAGCTAAAAAAGGACACATCTCTCCCTAAACCGAATGAAATTACATTTTTTCAAAAACAAATTACCTAAACTGAATAAATCTACATTTTTTCAAAAACAAATTACACAAATAACATATAAGTAAAGTACACTGAACAGCTTCTAATGTGCAGAATAAGAAGAATCAAGTGACATATTTGTAATTAATTGACAAAATAAAAATTAAATTTGATACAACATAAACGTAAAATGGGAAATAAACATGGAATTTCAAGATATTTTATGAAATAAATACATGCATCATCTACTAAAACCTAATACATGCACAAAACACCAAATCAATGGAGTAAGTTATTCCTCAACCAGCTTATCTCCCTTTAATGCAGTAACTAAGTAATTCTTCAATAAACAATATCTAGAATTTAAAATAATAATAGGTATTCATAACAAAAAAATTGTCATGCCGATTTGCTGTTCTCTTTTTTCATTGTTTTAGTGAAAGTGAAAAATATCTGTCATGCAGATTTGCTGTTTTTCTTAATACCCCCTTCCTTCCTCATGTATTGATTTTGCTTTGTTTTACTTAGTAATCCTTATTTTATTTTGAACATCTTTATACATGATAACAGTTTGATACTAGAGTTATTTCCCTTGAATTTAAAATGCTGATTCTGTTTCATTTATAAGTAAAATTTTACGCAAACAGTAAAAACCAGCGGTATCAATATATTTGTTTGATTCATAACATAAACTCTATACTGCTATAATTATTTCAATTTTAACTGAAAATAAAATAATGTTAATAAAACATTCAAAGCCATAAGATCCATATTGGTGTTGTTCTTACCGGGCGGTAACAGATCAGTGACATCTAGGAACAAAAGCCACCATCAAAGGTCAATAAGTCATAGGTTTATAATCATCGTCATAAAAAATAACATTATAAGAAAAGAAGGGGTAAAATGAGAAACCCTTTCACAAAGAGGATATGGCTAATGTGGGGAAAGTTGAACTCAATCAAGGTTTCATTTCAAGGTACAGGTAACTGAATCAAATACAAGGAATTACCCCATTATAAAGCTACATGGTAAAAGGTTGAAAGAAGATACAGAGAAATTTATCATTCCAATATGTTAATTAACTTTTGAATAATGACATGGTAAATTGTAGAACAATACTTTCACTTGAAGTTCTTTATAATTCTCTATCTGCAGTTAAAGACTAGGATACTAGCCTTTTACTATCACTGTGTTAATTCTAACTATTAGTATAAATGATATATTCACTATTAAATGTACCCTAATTATTAAAACTATAGTCTTAATCTTGTAGACAAACTTTTCTGCATGTTAGAAATGTACATACAAATGGATCTTGATTAATTGCTCTATAAATAATTCATCTAAATGCTCCTTTTTGTTTATCATTTGATCTTCATGTATGCTCTTTATTAACTTAAAAGAAATGGTTTAAGGTTTACAAAAGGCAGTTCCTTAAGGTATAAGCATGTTTTCTTGAACTGTGTTTATAATTTGTATACCACTCTATTAATTCACCATTTATAAACCCTATCCAAACTATCAACGTCTTCAATTGAATCTAAAAATGTACATCATGGAAAAAGATATGTCTACAATTTCTGCATACATTCCAGACTATGATTTCTGACTTTCTGGATATGAACCAGTAAGAGAGTAACTACTAGATACACATTACTTCTATCATAGTAGTACTAGTTCTATTTCAGTACTTACTTGCAGGTATGTCAGTAACAATGTCCACATGGACAAATTCTGCATCATACTGATGATATACTTCCACACTGTATCGTCCAATGATATTGAAAAATTGTTCTTTATTTAGCCCTCGTGCATTGATCGTGAGGTTCCTGTTGTTGTTGGATAACCTCCATTGCCCTTTATTTGGTACAGAAATGGTGTCGTTATCCAGATTTGTAAATCTCCATTTATATCGTAAACTCAATGCTGGGTCTGTCTTAGCATCCACAGCTAATGTCAGCACACTTTCTCTGTCTATGCGGTATGATTTCTCTGGTTTAAGGAAAACTTGAATGGCATCTGAAATGAAAGTTTTAACCTTATTTGATTTTGTGTTCCAATGGGCAGTACATGCTTTATAATACATGTACTTAGATTTTACCTGGTAAATTTTCTTACTGGAAATTAAATTCATGGTGATATCAGATATTACATGGTAAATTTTCTTACTGGAAATTAAATTCATGGTGATATCATACTTTCAAACTTGTTGCTATGGAGATGACATAACTTTGAAATCCTACTGCTTGAAGTCAATTAATTATTGTAGATAATTAACAATTATCTTGTCTCTCATAGATGTCTTCCTCCCTTCACTTTCAGTACTTACCAATGACTGCTAGAAACGCATCCTTGAAGATCATGCCTTCGCTGTTTTCTGAGACACACTGGTAACTTCCTGTTGACCCTGATCCCGGTCGAGTAGGTGTGGGCTTTTCAACCTCCAACACTGTCAGTTCCTTCATGTCTGAACTTACCAAGTATTTTAAACCTACTGAAATATCCAAAACATGAACGCATTTCATTCAAGGCCCCTTTTGCATGCATAAAAGAGGTGCAGATTTAAAATAAATGTGCAGTGCAGAATAAGCATAAAACTGAAAGAATGCATTTAATGATTGACCACACAAAGGGTATTTTCTGCTGACTGAATTTTTTGTGAATTGCAACCTGTTGAGCCGCCTCGTAATTTGTAAGCCTTTCTATTTCTCTGATTCAAATTTAATGACTGTAAAATAGTTTTCAAGTAAATCAAGATCTTATGATTTGCAACTTTACTAAATTTATTTGCACTGGGAAAAAAGGCAAAAATACACTTCAGGTGGTCTTCAATAAAACTTTTAACAACTTGAAAACTTATAGTAGAAATAAAAGTATTATAATTGCGATTGTATAAAGTGGTAATAATCAGATATCTTCTGTTGACCTTGGCTGGCCCCAATGTCTCTGCCGTTTTTCTTCCATATCGGAGGTAAGGGAGGAACTTCTCCCTGGACCGACACAACATCACAGTAAAACACTGCATTCTTCTGGGCAGACACGTAGGTGTCTGACATCTGGGGGTTATTACTTTGTGGATCAAAGAAGGGAGGAGCTAAAAAAGTCAAATATTAATATCATAATTATATCCATTCATCATGGAGGAGGTAGAAAAGTCCATTATTATTGTACCAATATTATCCATTTATCATAAGCTGAAAAATCTTGATGAATGAGAGATCTTATCTCCTTTTTTTTTTTAAGCATGCATGCAATCCATATCATTTTATGCAAAATAATGATCTAGTTTAATCTAAAATGCTTTCAATCATTTTCTACAACAAAATTAGTGGAGTTAATTTAGAATAAATGATCATTAAAAAAATGTCTGGAATTTTACAAATTTGAGACAGAATTTTAAAGAAAACCTAACAATGAATTCTCTGACTCACATGTAACATTTAAGAAGGCCTGTTGCTGGACTTGATTATTGGCAATACAAGTGTAGGATCCCTCATCATCAATGGTCAAATCCTTCACCACCAACTTCCTGCCAAAGTCGTCCAGCTCATACTTAGCGCTGTTGGTAAAATCTATTGGTTCAAGTTGTGGGGTCTTCCAACTGATTGTGGGGATTGGACTGAAATAAATAAAGGCATAATGTGAACCACAAGGCCATGTCTTCAACATCATCAGCTGGAATATGTAAATAGATCTTAGCATGATTGCTTGTCAAACCAATCAAAGGCAACTATATTTTAGAGGCCACAAAAGGGAAACATGCAGGTTTGTAACATATTCCTGCAGAATTACACCTTCAGAATACTGTTACAGTAGATTCCTAAATATAACATGGAATGAATTATGAGAAAATTAACACCACTTGCAAAATAAAATTACTAGCTTTTATATTTAAAGTGCTTAAGTCAATGTTAAATTTCTTGATCAATCATCTACTCACTAATTATTGTTCTCACAATTTGACATTCAAGAGCCATTTCGTGATTATAAGTACTCCCGAAAAAAAAAGGAATCTACAGTACTGTAAAGAACCTTAAACAAATATTGCTAAAAGATGGACAACAAACCTGAAGTTTGAAACATAATCATTCAACAACAAAAATTGCAACACTAGATAAAAAATTATTTTTATAAAACTACTGACATTTGATATCGTGACAACTTCATTTATCAACTCCCGAGAAAGGAGCTTTTTCGAGAATAACATTTAACATGTAGGATTAAAACCATCATTTCCTGGGTGCTTGATAAATCACTGTCAACCGACATCAAAAAGAGTCAATGACTTTCTAAAATAATTGCTTTGTGCCCACATAATATAACCCTACTGTGGCGTAATGATTGCTTATGGCTCCTTTTTAAAAATTCAATTATCTTATCAGTTTTTGTAAGGAATAACTTACACGAAAATTTTACTTTTAAATCAACAATAAAGATTCATGCTACTCAGTGAAGATCAAACTAGAACTGTCCAATAGGGACAAATACCCCCCGCTGGGTTTTTCAGAGAAGGTGCCAATTCAAAAATACTTTATGGATCTAGAGATGTTCACAATTTACTTAAAAAAATTTGCAGTGAAATAAAATTGCTCATCATGTTTCTTTATGAATGAAACGGAGGTGCAACCAAATGAAACATCAATACTAATAATTGTAATTCCATTGTAACATTTTTTTTTATTTTTATCATTTAATTTTTCTTCATTACTGCATTAAAAAAATATATTGCAATTATGTGTTATGTCACTCTGCAGATTGTTGAAAAAAGAAACCATTATACAAAATCAAATTAATCTTGATATATCAATTTGAAATGCATTTTGAAAATAAAGAACTTTTAAATGAAGTGTTTTGACAGACAATAAATTACAATTATTTTGATAACACACACACACTTGATAAGAGATATGCCTAAACAACTTCCAACACCAAACTCATTAATTTATCTTTAACTGGATGCATGTCCAGTCATTATTCCCAAGAGACAAATGAAATTACATTATCTTCTGTGCAATGTAAAAACTGTTTTTAACACTTGATGTTTCTTTTTTTTTAAGTTTTTATGAGTAGTTTTAAGCTGTAGTTCATGTTTTTGTACAGATATTCTAGATTCTATGTCTCAAACCTTATACATGAGCCCAAAATGAACAAGTCAATTAAAATTTTAAAAAACCGGTAAAATGCAGAAAAATGAACAAAAAGAGTTGAAAATTCCAGGTGCACAACTGTGTGTTAATCCTTGCGATAGTTTCTGAAACGGTCCACAAAACCCCAAAATAAAAATGAAAAAACACCTGTAAAATTCAAAATAATAATCCAATCAAGATGAAAAATATCAGGTGCACAACTTCATTGGTTGTACAAATTTTCAGACAAATCCTTCCAATAGTTTCTGATAATGGTCCGGATCTCGTCTACAGACAGACGGACATGGTGATTCCAATATACCCCCCTAAACTTCGTTTGCGGGGGGTATAATAACACATTCTAAACACCTATTTTTGTAAGGGGGGGGGGGGGGGTTTGCAAATGTAGACTGTCAAAAATTCTCAAGTTTGCTGTGTGTCTTGCTGAACATTAATGCACCTGGTGATGTCATACATGTGTATTTTTTACACTTTATTTTTATCATAGATTCAGCTCCTATCAATTATTGCACTATACATACTTAATCTCTAGAACAATTAGGACTCAAAATTTTAATCTGATAAAAATTCGTCTTTACATAGTGATATAAATGTAGTGTACATATTTTAGAGATATCCACACTGTGTCTTTTGCACAGTTATTACTGAAACAAGTGATTCATAACTTATATAAAAATGAAAATTTCATTCAAAAAGTAAAATGCAGAAAACTTCAATTTTTGATGGACTAAAAAAGATGTGACATTCCTATTTTTAAAAGTTTTCACAGATGGCAATTGATCCATTCAAAGAATGCTATACCAACCTTCCAGCAAATATACACTGTAGCGATGCTTTCTGTCCCAGAAAAGCCTTAGTATTGGCTGAATATACTGGCTTTGGTTCCATTAATTTAGTTGTAGATTCTACAATATTCCAGTAATAAACATTATTTAATGACAGGGGAACAAACAGATAGACACTTAGGAGAAAAAATTAATATAGCCCTTGTCGTTTCACCATTAAGAGACTAAGAGACCCTCTTCAGATATAATACATAGTGGACAGTTAACACACTTCAAAACATTTGAGCATATATTGAAGTTATTCCAGTACATTTCACAGTTAGGACTACCAAATCACTTCTACATATCCCTAGTATTTGACATGTATCAATGTTACAGATTAAGTTCAATAATAAACAATTTATTTTGTGATACTTACGCTTGATCCGGAGGGAGGTCATACTGCCTTTAGTAAACGTCCTGGTCACTTCATTCCACAGTCCACACCCATAGTCCTGTCCCGGGACCCAGTCCTCTGTCTTTACATTCAAAATATGCAAATTTCCTACAAAGTCAATGAATTTTCTACAAATCATGAACATTTAAATAGATTAATTTGACAAATTCTGTAATTTGTTAGTGAATCAAGGGACAACTTGTAGACATAATAAATTTTACCAATATATGCACCTGAAAATACTTAATATTGTTTTTGTACTGTAACTTTAAAATGACAATAGGGCAATCCTGTGGGTCCTATCTAGGAAAGACCTGACATGTTTGATTTTTTTATGCAAAGCCTAAACCCTTACCATCTGCTGTCTCATTCTGTACTATTAAAAACTCTTACCCTCCCCATCTACTGCGATCCTCTCTGACACTCGAACGTTGTGGTCCGTACCGGGGCCTTTCTTCCACTCTACTCGACACTCGGAGGCGGGCTCACAAGATGGACGACCGCGACACTGAATCACACAATCCTGATTCTCTGTACACTCCATAGTTACAGAGTTATCTGGAAAACTTCCCAAAACTACAAAGAAGAGTACATAGCTTTTATTTATTATTAGTATACTGTAAATCAACTTTTATTTGGGAGCAAGAAATATCCGTGAGTTTCGTGATCTTCTTTACTTCACATTTATTAATCATCAAGTATTTATTTTGCAATGTATAAGTAGAGGATGGTTCCTAAGTCGTGAAAATTTATCATCACAGATTGATTCCAAACTGAAGAATCACGAATAAAAGATGACACGAATAATAGCTGGTTTTCAGTAACAGAGTAAAGTGGTTACCGGACTGAAATCCTTGATATATATCACACATACTGTATGTCTACAAATCCTACAGAGATTATTTTTGGAACTTTGTGCAATTCATGACCAGTTCAAAAATACATTTTGACTGGATTAGGCACTGGCATTAAAGATATGAATTCCTGACTGTGCCTAATACAGCTTTCACTTACTTCTGATTAAGACATCAGATAAACTCAGTCACGAAAACTTTTTATTTTTTATTGCACAAAGTAATCCTCACTGATTTACACAAATGCAACTGAAAGATCATTTACAGTTAAACTTTTTTTTTTATCAAATTTTTTTATATCAAATTCCATAGATATGTTAAAGTGAATTGAAAGTCCCAAACACTAATTATTTTAGTATTTATCCTTCATATTTTCAAAAATTGAAAATCTCAAAATTTTTCTAGGTCCCATTGAATTCTACATAATGAGGTTTGACTGTAACTGATCCTGTTAATGCAGACAAATATTGGTGATAACTTACAAGCTTGCTTCACTTGTATTGGTTGTGATAGGGCGGTGCCGTAACTGTTACTAGCGAAGCACTGATATTTTCCGTAGTCTGTAAATTCCACTCGCGTGAAGGTGATGGTACCCAGTCTGGCGTCTACAGCAACTTCTCGACTATTTCTTACTGCAACATCATCCTTCCTCCATTGATAACTATAATTTATATCAGATTTAAATCTAAAATCTAGATATTAATGGTAAAGCACTGCATGGATATATACCTGGTATCTAAATACATAGCTACTAACATGAAATCAAACTTTCTTCCACAAAGAAATGATGAGAACAAATTGATCTAAAAGGCTAAAATTTGAAGCTTATCGATCAGGGTTTATCAATAACAATTAGATCATTGTTTTTGATTTAAATCTTGCAGCACAATTGCAAATCTCCCAAACAAGAAAAAAATTAAAATATACAGACAAACACCACTATGATCGCTATATGATATCAAAATTATGAGGAAATGTGGCAACTGGCACTGTACAGTAAGATGTACTGATTATGTTTTGAAAAGCATCTAAATTATTCTAAATTCATTTTCTAAGACAAAAAAATATTCCTGGAATGATAATATACTGCAATTGGGGTAGTTTTGATCAATCTTTTAATTTGACAAAACGTTAATCTCACAAATCATGAAAAAAATTAACTTTACTGACATATGAACTTAAAAAGTCTACTTTTTACAAAATAATTTCCTGGCCTAGTTTTACTTGAAGTAACAGCAATGAGATAATCCTGTCCTTGAGTGTCTTGATCTATATCACCATCTCTTAATCCTAACATCCATTACTAACATCCTCAGAACACAATCTATCTTATTAGGTACCTTTCCACTGTCTACCCAGAAACCATAACTCAGTACCATATCCAATAAATCTTCTGATAACATCTCTCAGTATCCTATCCAATATCTCCCCAGAAAACATCTCTCAGTATCCGATCCAATATCTCATCAGAAAACCATATCTCATTATCCTATCCAGTATTTCATCAGAAACCATATCTCATTATCCTATCCAATATCTCATCAGAAACCATACCTCATTATCCTATCCAATATCTCATCAGAAAACCATATCTCATTATCCTATCCAATATCTCATCAGAAAATATTTTATTACCCTATCTAACATCTCCTCAGAAACATCTCTTAATATTCTTTCCAATATCTCCACGGATCTGATATTTCACTACCCTATCCAAACTCATCTCTGATACCACATTATCTTGTTTCCTTAAACACAGTTTCTTTACTTATGAGTGATACTTACGTTATGTTCCCATTTACGGCTTTACACTGTATCGTAACTGGAGTTGGATGGGAAAATTGGACGTAGTAGGCTGGCTCAAATACCGAGGTTATTGATGGTGGACGATTAATTACTGCAAAAAAAGAAAAAAATCTAGACCTTAGCAATCAGGCCAATTTTTATCATTTATTTGAGGGTCTAGACATCTTAAAATTTTCCCAATTAGCACTAAAATGTTTATATTACATAGTCATATATGAAGTCAACAGTCAGAACAATTATAATATATGGTCTTGTTGGTTTTATTTGTTACATTTAATTTTAAATATTTCATTTGAACTCACCTTGGCAAGATATTAGGCAAATTGAAATAGCTATAAATAAGATCTGAAGCCAATGGGATGCCATCCTTTACCAGGCAAAATATTGGCTATTTGGGTCACAGCATCTGCATACCTCTGAAACACAGGTGAAATATACTTTATAATCCTTTATAGTAATACCTGCAAGCAAAATAAGTCAATGGAAATGCTTATAAGACTTAGTTATAACATCATGCTGATTCATGACATTATATAGAGTACTATACAGTACATTATAGACTAGTCATTCTGTCAATCACACCTTTAGAGCTTCATACACATACAAGAAGATTTCAAAAGTCACCTTGTCACATGTGAAACTTTCTACTCCATCATGTAGCTCTGCGTACTTATAATATTATAATAATTCACACCTTTATCCACTATCAAACATATTTCCAAATTAAGTCATTTTTTTATTACATGCAGAATGAATCGATACATGTACACTGTATTTATGTGTGGCCCAAGATCAGTCTAGGACCTACATGTATATGTAAAATAGATGCACTTTGCCAATGTTCATTCACAGATGTCAGAAAATCAATGTAGAGTTACAGAGAATGCCTACTCATCCGTGCTACCAACATATGTCTTTGTCAACAGCTGATGCATTTTAATGACCTTTCAGAAGCACATGAATTCCTTGTAAAATAGACTTAGCAGGATATCAGTTCACTTTAATTTGTTAGAGAAGTTTAAAAAATAGCTGTAATGTCAAAGATCACCCACATAAAAATCGACTGCATCAGATTACTATACAAACAACTTGTTTGTCCCTGCATGGGTCTGCCTCTAGGGGTGTAAATATGTATCTTGCTTTCTAGATATTGATTTAGAGAATGCATTTTTATGTTGTAAAAAAATGAGTGAAAATAAAACTTGTAGGATCACTGCATAATTTAGCATAATTTGGTAAAGCCTAAAGTTAGAAATTATTTTAGGGTTCACTGCAAGAGTTAAAATATGAAAGAAGAAATAAACCTGGCAGACAAAGAATGCTACAGACTATACAAGACTTACAATATATATTATAATGGCTAAAAAATTGTTCATATCTTCAATTTCAAAATTTCAAATCCTTTATTTTAGTATATATTTGCAAATGAAATTCAATTTGAAACTTTGGTATGGTAATAATTGTTTCCTAGTTCCACTTTATAGAATTCCTTATACGGATAGGTATAGCACAATAACCACCCCCTTTTTGCTTTTCTAGCGCCCACTGGTTTTATGATATATGAAAAACTTAATTTCAAAATTTCAAATTCCTTCAAAGTTTGGTTGGTATGGAGACACAGAAAACTGAACAGATGGAGATAAGAATAATGAAGGAGGAAAGGAAAAATTGCACACTATACAGTAAAACTTGGTTATAACGAAGTCACTGGGACCTATGAAATATCTTCGCTATATCCGTAATACATTATATCCATATATTAAGGAATTCATAAAGTTAACATGGCTGCAGTAAAGTCAAATCTTGCCATCTCAAACTCACTGGGACTGAGGAATTAAAACTTCAAGATATCCAATGATTTGAGATATAGAAGGTAAAATACTTCAAGAATAAGTGGTTGGGACTTCCAATTCACTTCGTCATATTCATTGTATTCAAGATATCGGTGTTCGAGATACCAAAGTTCAGCTGTATACAGTGGTTCATAGTTTTTTGAATAAATTTTCTTTGGACCATGCACCTGTAGATGAACATTATTTAAAATCTCACACCATTGGAAGGAAATAGATTTTTACAACTTAAAGAAGATTACTTTGCAAGTCCAGAGCTTATATTTTCAGCTGGTCCGATGGAAATACATTACTTGTGTCAATATTGGGACATATTCATATTGGTTTGTAATTAGTGACTGTGTCCTATACACCTGGTGATCTATGATGATTTCTACATGTAATATTACAGCCAACTCCCCAACATACCATAATCTATATACAATCAATGACGATACATTGTGATTTAGGGTGCAGCTATCAATCATCACCTACCTAAGGCCCCATATAATGATAAACACACTCAGTTTTATTTCCGGTGTGCATGAATGTCAATTAATGTTCCAACACCTTTCATGAAATTTCCAAGACAAAAAAACTTTAATATCACAATGCTACTGTTTGGAAAGAAGGAAAATAGAGGCAGAGGTGGTCAATTATTTGCCAATTTTACCTTCAAATCTGAAGATCAATTCCGTAAAAAAAAAAAATAAAACCTAAAATTGCAATATAAAACTTTAACATTCTAGACTAGCATTAAATATTTAAAAGTGTATATTAGAGAATCCTTGTAAATCAATAAAAGGTTATATTTTCAAAATAAATGCAAATCTTTAATTTAAAATCATTCATATTTAGCAATCTAGCCTCTAATCTAGATATATAAGGTGTGCTCAAATAGCAGTTAGAACTTACATTATAATGTGTCCAGATTAAAATCCCTCTGGAATATGTGTTCTCACTTCAAACCTGCATGAAGTTAGTTTTCATATATCAGCTCTGAAATGAAATATCCTCATCAAGCACTTTTGATACACAGATTATCTTTAAAACAGATCCCCGACAGCACTATTCCTGTCACAAGTCCATGTTCTGACTGCTAAGTAGGGTTGTGAGAAGTCGACATAATATGGTAGATAGATTATGAGCAGTCAGTCTGGGTACCTATACAGCTGTAACATTAGATCTGTATTAAAACCTCCCTCCAACTGTTCCCCGTCAATCTCATAGGACACACAACATGCGATATTCAATGAGCATCCACCAGGGTAAAAATAAAACTAATTCTCCTCACACCTGACCTAAGTCATATATTTTCCCTTTTCTCCCCTTTTCCTATTAGTCACTAGCTAACGTAATCTACGCCAAATCACAAAAATGTCCTAATCATTTACAAGCATGTATAGTCCATATGCTATAACGTAGTCCAAATATCAATTATGCACAAGGTTCAATTCTTCTTCCTTATTCCATTGGTGCCCTCGTGTAAATAGATTATTTTAAAAACAATAAAAAAAAACATCATTGAAAGAACAAGTAATGAATGACCTCTGGCCGTGACTGACCATCGTCCACCATGTGGACCAGGCTACCTGGGGGTACCCAGTAACACGTTTACAGATCTGTCAATATCTCCTTTGATCTGCTGGCCCACCTGATCCAAGAATCAATCAGGAAAATCACTTACAAAATATTATATCTCGAGGAACAATGGAAGTATTTTCCATGTTAAATCATCAGGAATAATGTTGTCACATTTGTGGCAAAATTCACCAGTGGTTGACCACAAAAGACCTGAAGAAGAGTACAATGGCCCTGTAATATCAATAGGATTAAATGTCAGACTGGACACAGTGTGTGCTGTAATTGCTTCTACTGGACTTCACTTTCTGTGTGGGTCCTTCCAGCAGCACAGGCCATGCACATTAACTACTGGATCAGTCACTGACCCCCTGGCCTGTCAAACAGGACTATCAAAAGCCTGTCGAATCTATCGTTGGAAAATATTAGTCTAAGAATCTCAATGTAACGTAATATCATATCATTTTTGGATTTTTAGATGCATGGGTATTCATGTATTGTAGGTATAGACTAAAAGATTAAGGTTCTTATTAATTGGAATTAAAGAGACATCGTCTTATCAATCATTTGGCTCCACGGTAATTTAAAGAATTTAACAAAGTTGATACAGAAACAATGGCTACCTTAACTGCTAACAGTTCAAGATTTATCATTACACTCTGTCAACATGATCAATTTGGCAGAAAATTCACATCATTGTTTATTTTAAATGTGTAGTGAATTCTGAATGACCTTTGGAAGTCTGTTATTATAATACATTTTGTCATCATAAAAGCCTTTCCTAAGTGCCTATTTTCTGGCTACAAAGTTCTCCTCCTATGTAATTCATTCAATTTACAGAAATACATACTTACATCCAACTGTTGACTCAATAGCTGTCTCGTGGGAAAAAATCCTTTCAAATTTCATTCAAATTTCTACTCTAAAACAGGAGCATTTTCTATTTATAGCATAATTTTTTTTTTTTTTTTAAATGATGGTAAATTTTATGTATCTGTTAAAATATTTATATGTTTAATGGACTGGGCAACACTTAGACACAAACTATGATCAGTCATGCCTACACATCAGTTTTGGGTAAATTCTACTTATATGTTCTGGACATTAGGGTAGCCTACAGGTATATGTTCATTTCTCCTTAATACAGTTTGCTTTAGACTAGTTAAATTTCCTTTTAAAAATAATTATATTTTTTTATATTTTTCCCCTACAAAGATTAAGATTACTAATAACTTCTTTCTTCTTTTACAGAGAAAATACAAGTAGCTCAGAATCAATATTTGAATGTATACTTTACCAAAGAATAATTTCATATTTGAATGCTGCTGCATGAGTCTACATCTGTGAGAAGCAGATCTAAATCCATAACATTTAGCACTATTTTTTGAGGACTTAAGTATAAAGTTTATATTAAGTTTATAAATCCCTACTAAAATCCGAATATTAAAGGCTTGTTCATCAAAATTTTACAGAAATATGAATCAAATAAAATTTTCAGTGTATATTGAATGCCAATAATTTTTCATTCAAATATTGAGTGGAATTAAAGAAGCCAGCTTCTATTCTTTGAATAATTCATAAAGTTGCACAAATTAACAAACCACCACTTAAACATTCATCAAACATTAAAATGTATAAACTCGTAACAGCTGTTAAAAAGTCTGAATTACAATGATCCAATCTACCAGCTGATGGGAAATTCTACAAGCCAGACAAAGAAAACTGCTTTTTAATAAACAATAAATTGATGATTAATACATGTAAAGAGGGTAGATAAACCATTGAACTGAATTTTCAAGGTTCTTGTTAGGGTCTTCTGCCCCCGTATTTTAGAATATGTATATATATGTATAGCAATATTTTCAGTTCTGATTATAGTCAAATTAATAAGATTTTGAAATTTACATGTATATTGTAACTTTACTGAAAGTAATTGAATTGATAACAATTATTAGCAATTTTCACATCTGTTACACAGATTCTTGTGGGAAAAAAAACCTTCTTGAAATCACAGATTATGCATATAAAAACATATTTAATTGTGTAAGAAATGTGCCACTGATACATATTTATATGTATTATCAATTATCTAGAAAAGGAAAGGATTTCTTGGTACAAAAGTCTACTCTTCTAAAAAATTTGAGATCCATGTTATATACATGTATATAAAACCCTGGAAATTGATGAAGGCCATGCAGACTTCACAATACAGTTGGGCCATTCCAAGTTTTTTCTATGTTTAGCGTCCACGTGCGCTTTGGTTTTTGACACCCCATATGAGAAAAAACACACAACAACAGGAGTCCTGAAATTGATAAATTTAGTGGAAATATGTGAATTTTGTAAATTTCTCCAAATAATTCTGTACAGTAAGTTATATTAAATTGGGTGTATTGTAAGCATTTAATCCGTTATTTTTGCTTAAGAATAGATATTTCTTCTATTAACGCAGTTTAATTAGATCAAATCATTTGAAGGACGTCATTTTTATGACTTTTAAGCTTGTATTTAATGTTTTGGCTTGTGTGTTTTTTGCGAATAGGTAGGTAGGTTTTTGGAAGATGAGTGGACGCGAAACAGAGAAAAAACTTGGAATGGCCTTGATAAATACTCAGACTTCACAACAATTACTGTGGTAGAAACGATGACAATATTTCCTATACTCCAAGGATAACAAATTCAAACTGATCTTGACTCATCCAGACTATTTGATGTAGTTAATCCTTTTGGTGCCCTGTTTTATTCATTGAAGATCTATATGCTAGAAGTCATTAAAACTAAAAGGCATGGCTTTGTGTTCAAAGATAAATGTTTTGATGATTATAGATCTATGGTGTATAAGGTAACTTAACTTACATACATTCATCAATAAGAGCTTGATGAAGCTTAATAATTGCATTCAGGATTGACTTGGATCCAGGATTCCAAATAACGGATACCGTATAATCCCTATTAACCGCCCCTACCCCTATAAGCGCCCCCTTAGGTCTTTTTCAATTGTCAGGTAATAAGGGCCCCCTGTAATTGATTTAAATCAACTAGAATCATATCAAAAAAGTGAAGAAAGTGAAAATGAAATTTGTTTAATATCCAATTTCTCAGTGGAAAATGAACAATTAACCATAATTTGGGTAGATTATCGTCACTTTAAGTAAAGTTAGACATTATCTTAGATGTTTCTTATATTTATTTTTATATTCAAACGATTTTATGAAGTTAAAATATGACATTATAATTTTCATAAAGTAAACACCAAAATAACTGCCCCCTTTTTGCAATTTTCTAAGCGCCCGGGGCGGTTAATAGGGATTATACGGTAAGCCTATATGGGATGTTAAGAATGCAATGCATTTGAAATTGTACAATAAACATACCTCTGCAACATTTTTATTGGGGGGGGGGATAATATCAACTTTCTGGGTGCCCCTCCCCTTTCTTAATCTTCCAAAGTACATGTATCTTCATTAAGAATAAGATGAAAAAAATTAATAAAAGTTATGATGGCCTTTTCTTAATATAATGATATTTTTAAATAAACTAAATCTTATCAATCTAAATCAAAAAATATTTTTTTTCATTCTCTGAAATGAAACTGGACAGAGACTCTTTTATTTCTGTTTTTGTCCCTCACACATTCATAAATTGCATGTTTGCATCCTGAATGATGCTGAAAACTTGAAATACTTTAATAACTTTATTACCCTTCCTTTTCTTTGCTTGTGAGATAATTAAATTCTCTTTTTAAAAATCCATACCTGCACAAAATGAAGTCATCTACTGCTCCCACTCATTTTGATCTGTCACTTCGTAATGTCTGAAAAACACGTAAAAGAGGACTGAAAACTCAAGAGTAAACAGCGCACGCCCACACACCAAGTTCTAATAAAAAGCGTGAAATCTATCTCTCTCTGGAGTCTTCTTAAATCCCACTGTCTCTTTGAAATTAAAATTCAAACTCCTCTAACACAAGTCCAAGACAATCAATTTGTTGCAGATCTCTTTGGCATATGGGGTGAATGCCTGGAGCATTCCTTAGACTTCATTTCACAGTCAACTTGTCAAAATATTACTGGGGCTGAATTACTCTCCTGATGTTAATTACAAAGCAAAAACAAAATTCCTAACCAAATGATTACAGCTGCAAAGTGTTCGCTAACTTTTGTAGGGAAGAGATGAGATGTTTGAAAATGAATAGAATATAAAAGCAACAAAGAAACATGAAACAAATTTTACACTCAGAACAATTCATGTTTCTGATTAAATATGATATTAGCTGTATACAACAGAGAAAGAGAAAGAAAGAGAGAGAAACAACAGTTTTCAAGTTTGCACATTAGCAGAGTTTATAAAATATCTTCAGAATGTACGTTTTGCAATAGTTGTAAATAAATAAAATGAAATTAAACATCTAATATGTTTATCTAACGAAATTAAACATCTCATATGTTTATGTAATGAAATTAAACATCTCATATGTTTATCTAATGAAATATTAATAGAATTTACTAATCATGTAGATTTACCCATTATTTCACTTTAATTGGAACATCCTTCTGTGGATCAGCTCTTGATTTAATCTACAAATTAAAAATAAAATTAGAGAATATTAAAATGATCAGGTCTCTATCTCAAAAAATAATCTCAATGTATACCAAAAAAAAAGTTAATGATTGGCAAGGGAGATGCCAAGTAATGAAATTACACCTACTCCATGCTATTATGGTTTCAGATGAACATTCAATCACTCTCGGTTCATTGTAACCACAACAGAAAATTGTTACATGAGAGATTAAACTCTCTCCATCTCTTGTTTGCTGCCAGCTCTTTTTCCGTAAATGCAGCTCTTATTAAATCAGAATTATATGCAAGGCAGGACTCACGATGGGTACATGGCATTCTAGCTGCTTTTATTACAATTTCATCAGGTTCACCGCCAGAAAATCAATGTTAACCCACTAAATTTGTTTGTTGGAGCATGATTTTGTTTGCAGTCAAATATTTTCCTCATCCATATACATAGGGATTGTGAGTTTTTCAAATAAATTTTGACATAATTTCTTCCTTTCTTTTCTCTTTTTTTTTTTTTTTTGGTAAGCAATATATATCTACCATCTGCCTTATCAGATTTATTTTGATGGCTACATATTTAAATAGTTTGAACCTAATAAGCATTTAATAACAAGAAATCATGAAAATGCATGAAGCACATAAAATACGTACTTTCCAATTTGGATATTAATAAAGAGTCATATAACCTTACAGAACCAGTCAAGGGAATCTGTGTTACTTTTTATGACAAAGAATAAAATGGTCGGAGATGAACCTGAAGGACATCCAGATGGAGAAACTCTAAAAGCAGGTATAACTTGACCTTTAGCCTTTATGTCAATAGGGGTCTTTTTTAAAAGTTAAAGAAATCCATGACCTTATAAATTTAATTTCTTTACAAAAGCTAACAAGAACAAAATTATCATCAGAAAATTAGGTATGCAGTGAATGAATTTCTCTGACCTTGGTACATGTATTTTGACCTTTTGACCTCAAAATCAATAGGTTTTTTTTTACGATATTAATTTTCATATAAAATTCCATTGCGAAACATCAAAGAGAGCTGAAATTATCACCATTAACCCTTTTTATGCAAGTTATGAATTTTTTATTATGGTCTTTGGACCTCAAATCAACTGGGAACTTCTAAGCCCTTGGGTGCATATAATTTCAATGCAAAAGCTAAAAGCAAATTTGAGGGAAAACATTTTTTGCTATGCATACATTTCTGACCTTGACAATTTGCAACCTCAAATCTTTTTGGCCATAGTAATTAAAGAATAATATTTATGTTTCCTCATGCTGCACAATCTTACCACAGCTCTGTTTTTGCTGAGATATAATCAAATAAAATCAACAGTAATTAATAAATGTTATTTCACAGCGAAAGCTCAATTAATGGCTTTTTGAAAAATTGTCCAGAAATAATCAAGTGTTACACATGCACAGAAAGAATGTATGATCTAGATCTATACAGGGTACAATTACCTTCTTTCAGAAATTGAGAGTTATATATGGTCAAAAAATCACTGAAATAGCTCAAAGGCAGAATGTCTTCATCTTCAACCTAAGAATCAATACTGATTTTCTTTAGGTCATGACTGTAAGGCAGGGCTCGAGCTGTGATTCGCCATTGTCGCCAATTGCGAATTTTTTTCAAAAGTGGCGAAAAGAAATTCATAAGTGGCGAAAATGATTTTTTTTTAGATGTACCATGTACAAAATTTGTGTAGTCCTGGTTAGCTCCTTTGTTTATTCACTGTACACAGATAAGTCCCTTTGTTTACTTAATGCATCAGAGGTGTGAAAACTGGGTGTGTTCCCCGAATGGCTACTCGGAAAAAACAACAAGTAATTATCACACTCAATTAAGGGGCCCTCTAAGGGTACAGGTAGACTTACCTGTGTTTACCTGGATAACCAATATTTTATAAATCAGATATATTCATTCAATTTTATTTTAATTAAGAGTTTTTTTATTTTCCGATATATATACTGAATAAAAAATAGATAAATAAATATAAATAGATAAAATTAAGATTTAAGAGAAATAATATTTTTATTATCTTTTTTCCCAAACTATTCAATAGTATTGATTGATTTGAACATATTTTGTTGTACTAAATATATACAATGGGATTGGGCACAAGTTCTAAAAACTTAAATCGCCCGCTCCCTACATGAGATATTATAATAGGATGAATTAGATTATTGATTGAGAATTTACAAATTGTTATCCCCTTTTTGTGCTACATTTTCAAACTCTTTTAAATAAATCAATACAAATTATTTTTTGTTCTTAAAATAATATAGATATTTATGTATGATAAATAAAGTGTTTCTATAAAGTTTTGTCTAATTTAATTCATTTATTTATCATTTTAATACCTTTTAATTTTTAAAACATTCTTTTAAATCGTCATAAAAAACAGAAGTTTATGTTTCAATTTTTATAATAAATAAATTATACAGACTCTACATCTGAACTTTTTCACCTTGGATAGTGATCCCTTACATGTAATTGTGATGAAACATATGGAGATGGAGTAAATAAATTGTAAATATTGTAAATATGTGTGATATGAAAGTAAAACAGTGCTATTCAATATTAGCTGCAGATCTGTAGCTCTCCGAAAAAATATATATTGATAGACCGGTCTATCAATATTTTTTTTCCGGAGAGCTACAGATCTGCAGCTAATTCAATATATACTGTGAAAATCAGTGCTGCTAAACAATAGAACTTAAAGATAATTTATAGTTTTTAATATGTTTTGTGCTTGTAAAATTATTTTAAAAAATATGTACCATATACAAAATATTTATTCATACTAGTGCTCAAATAAAAGAAAATGAATTAAAAATTTATTTTATTTTATTTAAATTCTGGTAGATTATTCATACAGGTAAGTCTACCTGTACCCCTTAGAGGATAGCACTGTTTTACTTTCATATCGCAATAAAAATTTTATTTCTCTTAAATCTTAATTTTATCTATTTATATTTATTTATCTATTTTTTATTCAGTATATATATCGGAAAATAAAAAAACTCTTAATTAAAATAAAATTGAATGAATATATCTGATTTATAAAATATTGGTTATCCAGGTAATCACAAGTAAGTCTACCCCTTAGAGGGCCCCTTAATTGAGTGTGATAATTACTTGTTGTTTTTTCCGAGTAGCCATTCGGGGAATAAACCGAAAACTGAAACCTACATGTAGGAAATCACGTCTCGCTTGAACGAACACAGCTGACTAGGTAACTAGCCTGGAGCAATAAAGGGTTACAAAATTGCTTAAAATAATAAAATTTGGATTAAACAAAGGGGGATAAAGTTTTATAAGATGAAGTTAGTAAATAAAAGATTTTTATCAACAAAATCTGGATCTATGTAGATCGTTTTTTTTTAACCGAAAGTAGGGAAACATGACGGAAATTTAAAGAATGGCTTCAAATTTTACCTACTGAAAATTGAAAAAATGTGTACATTAATATACCATTAACTGACAAAGAGTGAAAAAGAAATTGGTTTGGAAACAGAATTATCTTTAGTTAGTAATTTACACTGAATTATTTACAATAACATGAGCTTGCATATTAAACCCTGGAGTCTCAAGTTGTTAAAATAAAGTCAAGTTTCAAACCTAATTTTCATTACTTTTTAATTTACTTCTTTTCACAATTAATTAATGAAATGATGAAAATTTTCATTTTTAGAAAATGTCATATTTTTACTAGGTCTGTACCCCCCCCCCCCCCTCACTTCCCAGGCGAAAAAAAATATAAACAAGAGGACATTTTCTGTCAGGAATTGGCTGATATCAATACAATATCAAATTAATTGTGTAATTCCAACATTATTTTTCTTTTTTTAAATGGATACTAATCATACTACCATAAGCTTTAAACATTACAATTTTAAAACAATGTCTGTGTCAGATAAACATAATAAAAAAATTGAATAACAAAAAGTGCATTGCATTGTCGAGAAATCAGATGTAAGTATGCCTTTCCTTAAAGCTTGTGTCGCGAAAAGTGGCGAAAAATATTTTCGGTCCAGTGGGAGCCCTGCTGTAAGGGATATAATTTGACCACAGAAGCTCAAAGGCTTTATGAGATATTGTTTAGAAATGAGAGTGATACATACAGACATCACGGAAAACCAAGTATAATACTTAGCCAGCAGCTAGGGGACAGTAACTTTTAAATTTCTATTATGATAATATATGGTATTACTTACTATATACATATTCATTTATATGCTTCATGTAATACATACATGTTACATCATGGTGTATCAATATTACTTTCTTAAATGTACTGCTTTTAAACATTTATTGCTAGTCAGTATTAAATTATTGACTAAAAGGGACCTATACAATTGTTATGAAATATTTAATACTGTATTTTCTCTGAAAGATATCAGTTAATTAAAATCAATAAACCACCCAAGGTTGTGTCTTATAGTGGTGTCAACAACTAAATTAGATCAATGAACTTAATGTGCTACATTGTCCA